AAATCAGATTGCTCAAATTACCGTGGTATTACTCTGCTCTCCATTGCTGGCAAAATCCTGGCAAGAATACTCTTGAACAGACTAATACTCACTATAGCAGAAGGAATTCTACCTGCAAGTCAGTGTGGTTTCAGAGCCAACAGGAGCACCACAGACATGGGATTTGTTCTCAGACAACTGCAACAGAAGTGTAGGGAACAGAACAAAGGTCTTTATGTAACCTTTGTCGACCTCACCAAGGCTTTTGATACTGTGAGCAGAAAAGGTTTGTGGCAGATTTTGGAACGTTTAGGTTGTCCCCCCAAGTTCCTTAAAATGATCATCTCACTCCACGAGGATCAGCACGGCCAAGTCAGATATGGCAACACACTTTCTGAGCCCTTTCTAATTAAGAATGGTGTGAAACAAGGCTGCGCTCTTGCTCCTACCCTATTCACAATCTTTTTCAGCAGAATGCTCCAAAGGGCCACGGCAGACCTCGAGGATCAGGATGGGATCTACATCCGATACTGTACTGATGGAAGCCTTTTCAACCTAAGGAGACTGAAGGCCCACACCAAGACCTTAAACCATCTTGTCTGGGAGCTGCTTTATGCTGATGACGCCGCTCTTGTTGCCCACACAGAAGCAGCTCTGCAGCATTTAACACCCTGCTTTGCAGACGCTGCTGAGCTCTTTGGGCTGGAAGTCAGCTTAAAGAAGACAGAAGTTCTCCATCAACCTGCACCTCAGGAAGTCCCCCATCATCCCCACATCACCATTGGCCAATCAGAGCTCTAATCAGTCCAACAGTTTAATTACCTAGGCAGCCTCATCTCCTCGGATGGTGAGACTGACAGGGAGATAGACAACAGGTTAGCAAAGGCATAGAGAGCTTTGGGAAAACTCCATAAAAGAGTTTGGCGAAACAAACACCTGAAGAAAAGTACCAAGATCAGTGTTTACAGAGCCATTGTGCTGTCTACTCTCTTATATGGATCTGAACCATGGGTCATCTACCGTCACCACCTGTGTCTCCTGGAACGCTTCCATCAACGCTGCCTCCGTTCAATCCTAAACATCCACTGGTCAGATGATGTGACCAATACACCTGTTCTAGAGCAAGCAGCAGTCACAAGTATTGAGGCCATGTTACTGAGAACACAGCTGTGCTGGGCAGGGCACGTCTCAAGGATGAAGTTCCACCTCCTCCCTAAGATCCTGCTTTATGGTGAACTTGCCACTGGCTGCCACAAGAGAGGAGCCCCGAAGAGAAGATACAAGGACTCCCTGAAACAACATCTCAGCCTTGGCCACATTGATCACCAGAACTGGTCTACTCTGGCCTCCAATCGGGAGGCCTGGAGACACCCCATCTATAACGCTGCTGATGCTTTTGAGAACGCACGCAGGATCACCCTTGAGGGGAAAAGACAGCGCAGAAAGAATCGTGCCTTGCAGAATACACCATCTAAGGAGTCTTTCTGCTGTGCCTTTTGCAACCGGACATGTCTGTCTCGTACTGGCCTTTTCAGCCACCAGTGCACTTGCAACAAACATGGGTAGAGCCCTTCCCAAATCTTCGTTCGCGAAGCCCAGCCATGAATATAATTGCTTCAGTAATTGCTTCAATATAGTGCACTGTCCTATCTTACACTATACTACTAGTAGTTTTAGCCTTTATATTGTCTAGTAAATAATTCTGATTAAGATCTTTTGTCTGATCATTTGTTATAATAAATGATTCATTTTATATAAATATTCTCATTTGCCAATTATTAAAACCTGCGGGACAAAAGTGGTTCAATCACACCTCCGTAATTCCTTAAATTTAAACTGTTGACACAATCTGAGGCTGAGATTGGATTCAGCTCCACCCAGGCTCTTCTCCAAGCAGGGGTTTAGGAAGCCAGGGAGTCCTTTCTGCCCCTTGAGACTCAAGGGCAGGACTTCTTAATAAATTTTGTCTAAGCCTCCGTGACACTGGGACCATGCTGGGAGAGACTGGGATCATGCTGGGACTATACTAGGGGCAACTGGGTGCAACAGGGATCGCAGTGGGAGGAACAGGAAGCAACTGCAACCATGCTAGGGGCAACTGGGATCATACCGGGATCACACTGTGAGCAACTGGGCCCACGCTGGAGGAGACTGGGATCACACTGGGACTGACTGGGACTACACTAGGGGCAACTGGGAAGACACTGTGAGGAACAGGGAGCAAATGGAACTACGTTGGGGGCAATTGGGATCACACTAATGGTGACTTGGATCATATTGGGAGTGACAAGGAGCATGCTGGGGGCAACTAGAACCATGTTATGGGCAACTGGGATATAGTGGGAGGAACTGAGATAATGCTTGAGGTGATTGGGGTCATACTGGGAGTGACTGGGACCACACTGAGGGTGACTGGATTTGACTGTGAGCAACTGGGATCATGCTGGAAGCAACTGGGAGTGACTGAGAGGATGCTGGGGATGACTGGAACCACAGTGGGGGTGAAAGGAAGCAACTGGAACCATGTGGGGGGCAACTGGGCTCATACTGGGAGAAACTGGGAGTGACAGGGACAGTACTGGGACAACCTGGCAGTGACTGGGATCATACTGGGGGTGACTGGCAGCATCTGGGACCATGCTGGGAGCAAATGGCATCACACTGCAAGTGACTGGGTTGATACCGGGAACAAATAGAACCAAATAGATGGAGGCAACTGGGATCATACTGGGAGCGACTGCAAGTGACTGGCATCATACTGGAATCATACGGGGAGTGGTGGGCAGTGACTAGGATCATACAGGAGGTGACTGGGATCATATTGGCATTGACAGAGAGCAACTGGGATCATATTGGGGCAACTGGAATCATACTGGGAGTGACTGGGATTATAGTGGGTGTGAATAAGACCTTAGTGGGGGTTACTAGGAGCTACTGGGATCATGCTGGGAGCCAACTGGGGACACACTGGGAGCAACTGGGATCAACTGGCAGATACTGGAATGATGCATGGAGTGCTAAGACCACAGTTGGGGCAACTGGGATCATACTGAGAGCAACTGGGGCCACACTGGGAGTGTCAGTAACCAGTAACCAGGAATCATACTGGTGGTGACTGGGACAACATTGGGAGTGACTATGTTTACACTGGGGGCAACTGGGAGTAACTGGAACCCTGTTGGGGGGGGACTGGGATCATACTGGACTCATACTGGGAGGGACTGGCACTATGCTGGGGGAAACTGGGACCATAGTGTGTGCAAGTGGGATGTACTAGCAGGCTTATACTGGAGGTGACTGGGCTCGTACTGGGAGTGACAGGGCTCTGGGAAGCGCAAGATGGGGAGGAGGAGAAGCACAACCCCTCCCACTGCTCTGCATTGCCAAAATCCTTGTTCCCAGTTCCCACTCTGGCCCTGACCAGCAGATCCGCTCTGGGATCCCTTTCCCTGGGGTCACTTCCGTGCCCTCTGCCCGCCTTCCCGCCACTGGAAATCTGCACTTTGGAACCTCATCCCATTGTTTCCTCCTTCTCTTCCCTATTATTGTCAGGGTCCCCCTGCACCCCATTTTCTCAGGCACTGGGACCCCCTGGCCATTCCCGGTTTTCCAGCCCCCAGACCCCTCTTTCTTTGACTCCAGGATCCCCCTGCCCCCCTTTCCTGGCCTTCCCGCCTCTCCCAGTCCCTGAATCCCCCTTTTTCCTTGAGCCCGGGGACCATGATCCCTCATTCCCAGCCATCCCAGGTCACCTCACCCTCAGCCCCCCCTTTCCTTGACTCCAGGACCCCCTGAAGCCCCTTTCCAGCTCTCCCAGTTCCCCTCTTTTCTTGACCCTGGGACCTCCCAGATCCCCAGATCTCCATGTCTCCCCAGTTCCTCACTCCCGGCGCTTCCTGCAGGGGGGTCCTGAACCCTGAACCCCCATTCCTGTGCACCGAGACCCCCCACGAACTCCCTTATCTGAGACTGGGATCCCCTGCACCCACTTCCCTGGCTCCAGGACACTCCTGCTCCCCCTTTCCTGGCCATCCTGCTTCTCCCAGACTCCACAATCCCTTTTCCTTTATCTTGGGACCCCTGGACCCCCACTCCTGGGCATCAGGACCCCCCTGCACTCCCTTACCCAGCACTAAGCCCCCCTTGAACCCCTTTTCCCAGCCATTCCACCTCTCCAAGCCCCCAGACCCTCTCTTTTCTTTGACCCTGGCACACCCCGGACCCCCATTCCTGACTCTCTCAGCCCCCAACTCCTCCTTTCCTCAACACTCAGGACCCCCTGAACCCCCTTCCCACACATCCTGGGTCTGCCCATCCAATGAACCATCTTTCCCTGACACTGAAGGCCCCTGGACCCCACTTTCCTGGGCACAGGGATCCTCTGGTCCCCCTATCCCTCCTCTCCCCACTGTTAGTCCTGCCTTTTCTTGACCTTGGGACCCACCTGATCCCCCATTCCCAGGCACTGGGACCTTCCTGCACTCCCTTCCCCTGCTCCAGAACCCCTCTGGAATCATACTGCCTTATCCTGCACCAATACCTACCTGCACCTCCTTTCCTGCCTATCCCACCTCTCCCTGCTCCCAGACTCCCTTTTTCCTTAACTCTTGGACTCCACTTGATCCCCATTCCTCCCTTTCCGAGACCCCCTCTGCTTCACATCAGGGACCCCCTGAGACCCTTCACAGCCATCCCGTGTCTCCCCACCTCGTGACCCCCTTTCTCTGACACCAGGGACCCCCGGATCCCCCTTTTCTGGGCACAAGGTCCCCCTGGACCGCCCCATCCCACGTCTCCAAGCCCACGCATCCTCTTTTCTTCGAAACCCCCTTCCCCAGCACCGTGTCCCCCCTGCACCTCCTTATCCTGCACCAATACCCCCCTACACCTCCTTTCCCGACCATCCCACCTCTCCTCACCCCCGGCCTCCCCCGCCTTGACTCTGGGACCACTCCCAGCCCCCCCAAGCCCCCGTGTCCCCCCAGTCCCCGTGTCCCCCCAGCGCCCCCTCCCTGCGTTACCTGTCGGTGGCGGGGTCGGAGCCCGGCCCGGGGCTCCCCCAGTTGGCGGCCGGTCCGGCGAGGCCTGCAGGAGCCGCGCAGGCCGCGGATGGGCGGGAGCGGGAGAAGGGAGGGAGGGAGGAGGAGAGGGAGGTGGGGTCTGGGAGGAGCCGGAGCCGCAGGAGCGGAGAGAAAAAGAGAAGGGGGAGGCAGGGGCGAGACGGGGGCGCAGCAGCAGCGGGAGGAGCAGCGTGAGCGAGGGCGGAAGGAGAGGCCGGGAGGCCGCAGCTCCCCCGGGAGCATCGCCCCCCCCGCCCCGCATCGCTCGGGTGAGCGGGGAGGGAGCTCATCCCCAATATCTTGGACAGTCTCTGTGTTTGTTGTGTTTTTGGGGGGAGGGGATGTCTGGAGTTTGGAGGACTCTAAAGCTGAGCCGCAAATGCCCCTTGGGGGGATATTGGGGGTTCCCGGGAGGTGTTTTTTTGGGGGTCTCGGTGGCGGTTCCCGGCAGAGCCGCGATGATGGGTGGGGGTTGTTTTTCCTGGGTCAGGCTCTTCATTGCCAGCCCAATGGCAATGAAGCCCAATGGCGGAGAGGGGGCACCCCTGGGACCCTGAAACGGAGAGCCCGTTCACAAGGGACCCCCGAGACCCCTTCAGCCTGGAGAGGGGGGGGACACAGGAGAGGGGAGACCCCTGAGATACTGAAGTAGGGAGCCCAAAGAGGGGGCAACCCAGGATTCCTCGGACCCCCGGCAGCCTGGAGAAGGGGGAGCACAGGAGAGGGGGAACCTCTGCGAACCCGGCACCCCGAAGCAGAGAGTCAGGGGAGAAGGGACCCCTGGGACTCCCAAAACCCCCGGCATCCTTAAACGGGGGGCTACAGAGAGGGGGGACCCCAGGACTCCAAAGTGGGGAGACCAGAGATGGGGGACCCCTGGGATTCCCAGGACCCCTGGCAGCCCAGAGAGGGGGGACCCCCAGTACACACAGGACCCCCAACAGCCTGGACATGGGGGACCTTCAGAACCCCAGAGAGAGGGGAACCCTGGGAGGGTTTTTTTAGGATGAATCTTGGTGGTTTGGGCTGAGTCTTGGGAATGCAGAGAGGACATGGTGCTGGGGAAGGGAGTTTCCAGACGATCCAAGGGTGAAGGGGGATGCAGGGACTTGGAGAAGTGCAATGGGGAGTCCAGGGGAAACAGGGCATCTAGAGGGTCCTCCTGTCCAGGAAAGGATGGTCCAGTAGTCTGCAGTGTCAGGGAAAGGTGGTTCACAGGATGGGGAGACCTGGGATGGCTGAGAAAGATTCAGGGAGTCCATGGTGTGAAGGAAGGGGGCTCTGGGAAAGGCAGGAATGCAAGTCCAGGGGGTCCCAGGGTCAAGGAAAGGGGGAGCCTGGGAGCTGGGAGAGGTGGGATGGGCAGGAAAGGGAGTACAGGGAGGTATTAGGGCAGGATAAGAGGATGAAGTGGGGTTGGAGCTGGGGAAGGGGGTGCAGGTGGGTCCCAGTGCCTGGGAATGGGGGATCAGGTGGGTCCCAAGGTCAAGAAAAGGCAGGACTAGGGGTGGGAATAGGACAGATGTGGGGTCCAGGGTGTCCCTGTGCCCAGGAAAGTGGAGTCCAGGGGCCTCCAGTGTCAGGGAAAGATGGTTCACTGGGTGGGGAGACCCAGGATGTGCGGGAAGGAGGTTCAGAGGGTGTTGAGGAAGGGAGGAGTTGGGGACTGGGAGAGTCAGGAATGGAGGTTGAGGGGGTGTCAGGGTCAAGGACAGAGGGAAACTGGGAGAGCTGTGAGAGCCGGGAAGGGGCTTTGGGATGTCCCAGGGTCAAGGAAAGGGGAAACTGGGGGTGAGGTGACATGGAATGGCCAGGGCTGGGGGCTTGGGTGTCCCTGCGGTCAAGGAAACAGGGGGATCCAGGGACTGGGAGAGGCGAGATGGTCAAGAAAGGGGGGCGGGGGGGATCCTGGAGTCAAAGAAAGAGGGGTCTGGAAAACCGGGAATGGCTGGGCAGGGAGGTCCCAGGCCAAGGGAAGCAGGAAGAGGAGGAAGAACACCTGGTAGGGGCTGCCGAGATCCCTGGAGTGGGGAGAGTGGAGAGGGGCGATACGGGAACTGGGGGAACCTGCAGAGGGGGGAGGCTCGGGAGTTCAGGAACCCTGAAATGGGGGCCTGGAGTGGGGGTATCCTTGGGACCCCCAGGACCCTGAAGTGAGGAGCCTGGAGATGGAGGAGTCCTGGGACCCTGGCAGCCTGGATAAGGGGACCCAGAGAAAGGGGAGCTCACAGAAGGGGGACCACTGGCAACCTGGAGGTGGGGACAGCTCTGGGACAATGAAGTGGGAGCCCAGAAATGGGGGACCTCTGGAATTCCCTGCACGCCCATCAGCCTGGAGAGTGGGAGACCCCAGAGAGGCAGGAACCCTGGGATCCCCAGCACCGCAAAGCAGAGAGTCAGGGGAGAAGGGACCCCTGGGACCCCTGAAAGCATCCCTAAGCAGGGGGATCCTGGAGGGGGAGCAAATCCAGGACCCCCAGCAGCCCAGAGAAGGCCGTCATCCCTCAGAACACCAAAGTGGGAAGACCAGATAGGGATCCCCAGCAGCCCAGAGAGGGGGGGGACCCTGGAAAGGGGGGACCCCCAATACACACGGGACCCCCAGCAACCCGAACAGGGGGGACCCCCAGAACCCCAAAGTGGAGAAGCCAGAGAGGGGGAACTCTGGGGAGCATTTTCTGGTCTGAATCTTGGAGTTCTGACGTTTTTTGGGGGCTGAAACTTGGTATTTAGGAGGGTTTTATGGGCACAGGATGCCTGGTGACTTCTAGAGATGGACTTGGGCAGGAGGAACCCCCAACCCAACGGGCTCACACCCTGTTTTTCCCCACCAAAACAGGATTTCTGATTCCCAAACCTTGGCTGGATGGAGGAGGAGGCTGTGAGGAAGAGGAAGATGCCCCAGGACACCCAGACAGGTGAGGAGGAAGTCAGTGCCCCTTTCCTCCTCTGTTGTCCTGCATCTTCCAGCTGAGTATCGCCCCTGGCTGCAGGACAACCTCGCTGTTGTCCTGCCGGGGATGGATTTGAGGGGATCTCCTTCCCCTTCCCCTTCTCTCTCTGGGCTGGAACAGATGAACAGGAGTGTCCAGTCCCATAGGCCAAGATGACACAATGAATCTCTGCAGTTCCTGCAAAGTAGAGCCTAAACCGTTAAACAATTTTGCTGATTAACCTTCCCTTATGTAAATAGGGAGCATGTTGTTTTCTGCCTTGGATTGTATGTGGATCTTTTATACGGCCATAGACAAGGCCTGAACCCACATCATAGATGTTTCTTGACAAACCCTGTCTATTTGTGCTTTGTGAGTTGATGAAGTGTGACTCTCTGTCTGATGACAATCTCACAGGAACCCCAAATCTTGGAATTCCTGCGTCTTGACTGTGTGAGAGGAACTCAAGCTTTTATCACATAAAGTGATTAACTGCCAGTCACAGATCTATAGGCCAGTTAGGAGCTTACCAGCAGCAGGCTGTGTCTGAATGCAACACCAAACAGCACCCTGGCAGTCCCAGTAGCTCACCACAGAGAGCTTGCACTCTCTGGACAGATTCCAAGCCTTACTGGGGGGACAGGCCATCCTGCCACACTCTGCCCCAGACTGCAGTCGATCATCTTTACCTCATGGAGTGATAGTGCAGGTACCTCTTGCCTCCATGGGTAAAAGCATCCTCATGTATTGGGTCAGGTGCACTCATGGATATGTGAACACCAACAAAACAGCTGTATTAGAATAAAGCTAGGAAGCAATCTAAGCAAACCATTTAAGTGATCTAAACAAATCATCCCAACAACGATGTTACCACTTTGTCTCAAAGACTGCAGGCAAGATGCAAGTCAGGTCTCAGGGTCTCATGGGAGAGTCCACAGAACCAGTGCTGTTGCAGTGCTGCAGCCGCCTTCTCATCCCCCTTTCTGTCCTAACGCAGGACTTTTCTTTTGTGAAACTCAGCATTCACAGACTCCTAAATGACACTGGATAAGAAAACATTTTAGAGGCATAAGGTACATAAATTTGATCTCACAATCCCATGAAATCCTATGTGGATTTTCCTACCAAACCATCCCTTCAGGAGGAATCCTTTTCACAGGCCGCAGTAGCCAGAGACACAGATATTCCAAACAGCGTTTACAAACTGCTGTTAAACTGCTGGGACAGAACATATACAAATATGAACATTGCAAACTTTAAAGCAATCAGTGTAGCAAAAGCAATATAAGCTTTCAATTCTTCTGTAATTAAAATAACAGAGAAGCCTAAAAGAAACATAGAACAGATGACAACAAAAACAAATACAATGGTCATGGCACTGTCTGGTGTTCTGACAGTATTATTCAAATTGCAGTCTGATTCTTGTATATGCACCACCTTTGGAGGTCATAGGCTCATCTTACAACAGTTCTTAGCCATGTCAGAAGCCTTTCCTTATTGGTCTTTCTTGTTTACTTACTCCTGACCCATTTCAGGAATTCTTATTACAGTCCAAAACCTCTTGTCTTGGTGTGTCTCACTTGCAGTTGTTCAGGCCTTTGTTCACTTCTGCATAAAAGCTGTTTCCATCCATATCACTTTCAGTCCCAGTTCTGGTGGCACAGTTTCCAAGTCTGTCTGCTGAAATGGACTTTCTGTAAACAGTCAACTTGACACATTGTTAGTTCACACTGAGAGCAAAACAGTGTTCCCGTTTTGAGTTTGCCACAGCCCCCCCGAGCTCAATCAGGGCACAGAGGGCAGGAATATTCACAGGCTGTGAGCCTGAAACAGGCCCAGAGCACCCAGGGGCCAATATAGGTAGCTCTTCTTCCCCCCCCTTTCCGTGTCAGCCAGTCCAGCGGGCAGGGGAGGGCCCACGGCGGTGGCCGCCCGGTCCGTGGGACAGTGCAGCTCCTTCAGCCTTCGGTACCGCGTCCATTCCTGCCGGGCTCCATTGGGAACCCCCCTGCAGTTCACCACAGGGACGGGGCCAGACCAAGTCTCGGGCAACCTTCCCTTCTGACCTTTCCTTTTCGCTGGTGTAAAAAGTATCTTGCCCAGTTTTCGACTACTCCAGGGCTCTGTTGCTATAGCAACGACCGCGAGCCAGGAGCTCGAGCGGGCAGGGCCGCGCCAATTCGGGAGGCGGGGGGTGCCCGGAGCAGGACCCTTTTCCCTCCCCGAGACAGAGCCGGCCGACCCAGGCGGCGGCTTCGGGCGTCCGAAACTGGGCTTCCCAAGTCTATGGGAGAAAACCGAGGGTGTCGGGGGAGAGTGGGGGCGATCGAGCCGCCCTCGGTAACCAAAGCGACCGTTTCGCCGCTCACTGCAAAAGCGGTGACTTCCCCCGGAGGGTCGGCGGCGGTGCCGCTTGTGACAGCGCCGCTAGCAACAGCCGTCGCTCCATCTCCGCTTGCCGCAGCACAAGCGGCGGCTTCGCTTGTAGAAGGCGTTTTGCCTACAGAGGCGGAGAGACCTGGCGCGAGGGGGCAGCG